AGCAGGAAACTGGTAAATAGGAGATGACTTTAAGAAGTTTATGGATTGGGGCCAGCAGGTAGCATGGTGGTTAAGGGCGCTGGAATCCCACGTGGCTGACCGTGGTTCGAGTCCTGGACCCGGTGGTTTGCTTTCTCACTTTCTTTCTCTCTCTCTCTCTTTCTCTCTCTCACTCACTCACTCTGTCCCTCTCTGGACAAATTAAAATGAATGAATGAATAAATAAATAAAGTTAAATAAAATAATTATTTAAAAAGAAAGTTGGGACCATCAGTTGGCATAATTAAAAAGTTAGGACTAGCAGTTGGCGTAGTGGCTACATCTCTGAACTCCCATTTAGTCGACTGCAGTTCGAGTCCCAGAGCTGGTGGCTTAAACTCACGCCAAGTGCGTGTGTGTGCATGCCCAAGATCTCAAGAGGAGAATGGAGGAGAAGGGATTGGGGCGTGGCCATCCCCCCAGGCGGTGATTTCCCGCTTTCTGTCTTTCTGTATCTCTGTTTTTCTGGTGAGTGCATACGCCCTATAGCAAAAACCTCTCCAAAAAAAAAAGTTTATGGACAATAAGCATTTTTGTTTTGTTTTGTTTTTTACTTGCCGAAGGGCACATACGCCTGCCAGAGAAAGAAAGGGCGAGGGAGAGAGTACCCCTCAATGGGGTGCGGTCATGCTGCAATCCGTCCTGCTCCCTTTCCCATCCTGTTGGGATTTGGGGCACACACACATGCCTGGCAAGTTTTTCAAGCTACTGGGGCCAGGACTTAAACCCATGGTTGGCCATGTGGGATCTAGCTCCCTTAACAACAAAGCCATGTGTCTGGCTCAGAAAATGAGGGGACGTATTCTGAAAAAAACTATTTATGGACTTTAACATTTTTTTGTGCCAAAATGAACTCATACTTTAATTTCCCTTTTCACAAACTTTTTGAAGTCCCTTCCCTAGCAATTGATATATAGTCACTCGTTGGAATCCTATCCAGCTATTAAAACTGAGGTGACTTCACGTTCAGTTATGTGAAGATGTATTGTGAAGATACAGACAGAAAAGCAAGAATAGACACATTACAGAGTGAACCAGCAAGTTGTTGGATGATGTTTATTATGATTCCATTTTCAGTGTTTTTTTAAAAAGTTACATACATTTAACCAACAAAGGAGTTGTAAAGAATTTTAACCAACAGATAAAAAGACTATCAGTCCCATAGAAGAATGGGTAAAGGTACAGGTCATTTACAGAGGAGATCATGCATATGGCCAGGAAGAACGAACGCGTGTTCCACCTCACTTGGGGATGACGATGGAGGATCACGTGGCTTCAGTGAATTAACTCAAATAGGGCTCGCAGAATGGGGCATGGCACATAGTAAATGCTCAGGAAATATTCTCTATTATTGAGAGTTGTTACCCCCCAAGGCATAGATTGATGGGGTCATGTCCAGGTGAACAGACAGGCTGGCAAAAGGGTGGGACCATCCAACTATGTTTTGGGCCAGAATCATCTGGGCCTGGACTGAGTCACCCCTAACCGCTGCTGTGTCTCCTGTTTTTCTGCAGAGCCTCTGTGGCATGTGCCCGCCCAGGCCAGGCTCTCAGCCATGGCTGGAAGCAGCGGGAGCAAGCACGGCTCCAGGCAGGACGCAGCAGGCAAAGATTCCCCCAACAGGCATTCCAAAGTGAGTCTGGGCCCCACCCTGCCCCACCTGAGGAGCCAGGCCTGCAGGAGCTGGCAGCTTCTCCGGCGCCTGACTGCTGTGGGCTGGGTAACTTTCCCTGAGAGTGGCCTCTGAACATCACACGTGAGCTCATCTTCCACCTTCGCCACCCTCCTCTAAGCAGGGGGGCTAAGTACTTGATCTGGAGTTACAGCCAGCCAGGTTCACGTCCTCTGGCTCCGGCTCTCAGGTCATCTTGGGCAAGTCCCTTCACCGCTTCAGCCTCAGTTTCCTTGCTGTTATGTCAGTGTGGTAGATTAACTGCTGTGACAGCCCTGAATCTCAGTGACTGCATGCAGTAGACCTTGTGTAACAACACATACTCAGTGAGCAGCTTTCCACAGGGTGATTCAGGAACCCAGTCTCCCTCCGTCCTGTGGCTCTGCTGTCCCTCTGGAGCCCCCTGCTGGGTCCCTCTATCTTTCCAATGGTGAAGTGGAAAGGAGAGAGCATCCAAGGGAGGAGAAGTCAGGAATCTCTCCTGCTTACATTGCATTAGCCAGGACTCCCTCCTGTGGCCACTGCAGGGGAGGCTGGGAGATGTAGTCATCTATCCAGGAGGAGAGAGTTTGGGTGAGTTCTTGGCAGTTTCTTTGCATCCACTCATGTGGTAGGTGTTCGAGGGACACTTACAACATGCTGGGTGTTAGGTGTAGTCATGTATCCAGGAGGAGGAGAGAGTTTGGGTGAGTTCTTGGCAGTTTCTTTGCATCCACTCATGTGGTAGGTGTTCGAGGGACACTTACAACATGCTGGGTGTTAGGACCACTGTGATGAAGAGGATGGACAGGCCCCTGTCCTCAGGAACCTGACATTCCAGTAGGAGCCACAAGCAGTAAGCAGATGAACAGATCCACGGTACGACACTGAGAAGTGATCCTTGCAAAGTGGAAGAAAAAGCAGCACAGTTAAGGGAAAAAAAAGTGACAATTACTACTGCTTTAGGAGATGTGATTGGAGATGACATTTGCGGGAGTGACCATTAGGCCAAAACCTTGAGTGAAGTAAAGGACAGTTCCTGAAAGTATCTGAAGGGAGAGCATTGCAGGCAGAGGGGTCAGCAAGGGCAAAGGCCCTGAGGTAGGAGCATGCCTGGCCTGCTCTGAGAACAGCGAGGAAGGTGATGTGGCCGGAGTAGGGAGACGAAGTTAGAGACCAGGACTTGGGACCTGATCATCAAGGCCGCGTGGGCTGTGGTGAGGACTCTCGCTTTCTCCTGAATGCAACAGAGCCACCGGCAAGCTCTGAGCAGGGACCTAACGTCGATGTTTGCAGCTTCTCTGATGACATGAAGAGAACAAACGGGGGGGAGGGGTGGAGGCAGAGAGACCAGGCGGAAGGCTGCTGTGATGGTCCAGCAGGGAACAGTGGTGACAGGACCAGCGTGGAACCACGGAGGTCCTGGATCTGTTCTGAAGACGTGGACAGCAGGGTTCTCTGTTGTACTAGACACAAAGCAGTCAGGAGAGTCTGTGGCCCATGGGTGGGGCAGCAGGAAGGCTGGTATACCATTCTGGAGACAGGTTTGAAAGAGAAGGCCTGGAGCTGTTTTAGAGGATTTGAGTTGGAGGCATGGGAAGCACTTTATATGTGTGTCATTTGTTCCTCCAAGCAACCCCATGAGGCTGGCTCTTTATCACCCCCCATTTTACAGATGTGGAAACTGAGGCAGAGAAGGTATATCGGTTGCCCAAGTAACACAACCAGTGGGCGGGGAGCCAGGATTCAAAGCTGGCTGGGTCCAAAGCTCACACTCCGACAGAAGGTGGGCTGAGGACAGGGGATGGCCCCTGCTCTGGAGTCTAGAAATGACATACTTCCCTTGCCTTCCAGGGAGAACCTCAGTACTCAAGTCATTCCAGCAGCAATACCCTCTCCAGCAACGCGTCCAGCAGCCACAGTGACGATCGCTGGTTCGACCCTCTAGACCCCCTGGAGCCAGAACAAGACCCCCTCTCCAAGGGCGGCTCCAGTGACAGCGGCATCGACTCCACCCTCTACACCTCCAGCCCCAGCTGCATGTCCCTGGCCAAGGCACCTCGGCCCGCCAAGCCACACAAGCCCACAGGAAGTATGGGCCTGTGTGGCGGGGGGCGCGAGGCCGTCAGCCGGTCCCACCACACAGAGAGGCGGCGGGAGGTCTCACCTGCGCCTGCAGTTGCCGGCCAGAGCAAGGGCTACCGACCGAAGCTGTACTCCTCAGGCTCCAGCACCCCCACCGGCCTGGCCGGGGGCAGCCGAGACCCGCCAAGGCAGCCCAGGTAAAGCATTGTACCTAGTCCAGGTCCTTCAGGGTCCTGAGCACCTTCCACTTCCTCCGCAGTTCGGACGGTGGGGTCCCCCTCTCCAGAAGCATGCCCAAGGGCACGTGTTTACACCCTAGCTTGCTCGAAATTGAGAGGCTCCTAGACCACCCTCTGCTGCCCATTCTTAGCTTCAGGGATCCCAGGTAGAGGGAGAGAAACCCCTGGCTTCTCCCAGTCTTCCCCTGTCTGCTGCTCTCTGACCATGTCCTTTTCCCTCTCTGTCTGCTGAAAGACCAGTGGTTTTTCTGCTCTGTGGGGATCACAGACTGTATTGGCAGTCATAGGAAACTTTGACCCCCACAGTGGCTTAGACAGAAGTTTAACAGTCCCTTGACGTGAAGTCCAGAGAGTACAGATGCAGGTTGTGCACCAGCTCAAGGGGACTGAAGAACTGGTTCTGTCTTCCTGCCCCGCACCTTGCCATGCTGGCTTGTGTCTCCCTGGTCTCAATAGGGCTGTGGTCCCTCGGGATTGGCAGTGAGGGAGCAGAGAACAGAGGGAAAGGTTGCAGCATCTGTGCGGTTCTATGGGGAAGGTAAACACTCTCCCAGACCCCCCTGGAGCCAACGTGTCACTTAGCCAAACCAGCTACAAGGAAGTCTGTGAGCTCGTGGTTTGGCCATCCAGGCTCTGTAGTAGAGGATGGTGATCCCCAAACGGTCCCCTAAAGTTCCAAGTGGATGCTGATGCTGCCAGTCCCAGAATGATGCTTTCCGACAGCCACTGGTAAAGGGGTGAGCATGAGCGGAAGCGAGTGTGGTCAGGTGGTGACCAACCAACAGCATGGAGTCTGGACCACCTACATGTTGAGATTCTAATGAAAGTGGTAAAGCACCTCCCAGAAAGTGCACAGAGGTGGACGATCGTTCAGTGGAGCCACCAGGCTCAGCCTTGGCCACCGAGCCCCTCAGAGTTCGCTGGCTCCAGGCAGGGATCTCCGAGCTGCCGTCTCCAGTGCTAACCCCAGGGCCACAGCCTCACCTCCCTTCCCTAACATACCTGAGTGGAAGTCAAGGACCCCTATGTGTCCAGAACCCCTAAGGGGGCTAAAGACCTTCTTGGTGCAGTGAGTCTTCCTCCCCTTGGCTTTCTGGTGCCTTTGCCAGTCCTCAAACCCACAGCCCCCACCACACAGGGCACGTGCATTCAGGCAGGCTTTGGCCCTCTTTGACCATCACCCACAGTAAAATCGTGTCTGTGAGTGTACAGAAATATCTGTAGAAGGTGACGCAGCGGGCTCCTGAATGATACTCAGCCTTCCTGCGTGCGATGTGCTTTGATCTCGTCTGTCTAATGAGGTTTAATGCTCATCAAGCCCTGCTCCAGAGGTTTCATGACTTAGCAGCGCTTCTCTGCCAGATGTGAAAACTGCCATGCAGAGGGTGACTGGAGTGTGCTCCCCGGGTGCCTTGATCCTGGGAGTTCCCCAAGTAAAGGAGCCCAGAAGGGCCCAGGTGGGAGAGACAGACAGACAGAGACTCTCTGAGCAAGCCAGCTCTCTGCCTCAGTCCGCCTCCTTAGACAAGTAACCCTTGACCTTTTGAACTCAAGATTCTTGAATAACTTCTTCATTTATGTACTGGTTCATTTGACTCAGATATTTCTTGGGAATTTGTTCTGTCCTAGTCACTATGTTGTTAGCTGAGGACAGAGGGACTCAAGAATTTGTGGTGGAGGTGCAGCAGGTGGCATAGTGGTTATGGTGCTGGATTCCCATATGGTCAACTGCAGTTCGAGTCCCAGACCCAGCAGGTTGAGATCCACGCCAGGCACGTGTGCATGCCCGCCCAAAATCCTGAGAGGAGCATGGAAGAGAAAGGATTGCAGTGTGGCCATCCTCCTTGGGGAGTGGTTTCTCACTCTCTGTCTCTTTGTCTCCAGCAAGATCACATACCCCTATTGCAAAACTCTCTCTTAAAAAGAAAGTTTGTGGGAAAACGGAATTAAATGCAAGTTGATTTTGGTACAAAAATATTTTGCAATCCCTGAGTAGTTTTTTAATAAGATGCATTATCTACAAACTTGAAGTCTCCTCCCACCCGTTAATGAGCATATTCTGACCAGTCCCCCAGCAGCCCTCACCACAGCCCATGACTGAGTGAGGGAAACAGATGAGAATCAGATCATCACTGAGAGCATTGTAAAATTGCATCATCTAGAGGGACAAGAGGCCATGAGAGTCTACGGGAGGGGGCCACATGTCCCAGTGTTGGTAGCTCCTGTTCTGGGCCTAGGCCCGCGTTGGACCTGAACCCTGTTCAACCTTGTGAGGCTTTAAAACTCGCAATAGGCTGAGGCAGGAAGACGGTGTAGAATTACTGTGTGTCTGAGAGAAGGATTTGCTGAACCCAGAAATGAAGGGAATAAAATGGGAGAGGAGCCCTCTGTAAAAGCGGGCCCTGCGGTTGGGAGCTTTAATTTGCATATAGACAATTGATGCTAATTGCAAATCATTCTTATCTACTCATTAAAGCTGCTTCCTGAAGTTTTCTCCTAGGCAACCAGGCTTTAGTGTAGAGCAGCATTTCCCAAAATGGGGTGCTTGAGGTGATTTGGGTGGTTCAGGGAGGAAAATGTTTTATTTTAAACAGATACATGTTTGCTTTAATGAGTATTAGGAAAGTGTTGCCAGCTTATCCCCTGATTCTACAGATACTGCCTAGGACCAGTTCCGGAAAGTAAAAGGAATTGATTTAAATAAACATGTACACGGTGAATAAGAATATGAGCTCCTGAGACAGCCTGGCTGGGCTCAAGTCCTCTCTCGACTGTGTGGCCCAAGGCAAGTGACTGAACCTCTCTGGGCCTCTGTTTCCTCATCTGCAAAACGGGGGCTAAATTACTTACCTACCACATAGGGATGTGGCGAAGATGAAATGAGCCTTTGAACGGTGTTTGGCAATAGACCTCAAGCCTGGCTATCATGGCGGAGGGGAAGTCATTCTATGAAAAGGAAAATGGGACCAGCCTGTGGCACAGTAGTAACACAGTGCTCTGCGATGCTGGAACCACATGCGAAGGTCCTGGGTTCGTGTCCCAAGTCCTCCCTCTGCACCCCTCTGATGGAGGCCAGTTGAGGCTGGGGGTGAATTGCACCATGAAGACCCTGTTAGGAATGTGTATGTCTCTAAAATAAATAAGTAAGCTTTATTTTAAAAATATTTAAATGAGGCTCTGCCTCAGACTAACTAAATAAGAATGTTTCCTATGGGCAAACCCTGTTACAGGCAGTGCTGGGGACACTGTGGTAACTGAGACAGCCCCAAGCCTATCCTCTCAGAGCTCAAAGTCCGGGGGGGGGGAGGGGGTACAGCTCTATTCTAGAGTGGGAGGACCAGGTGAGAGAGACACTAGAGGGGCTTCCTGGAGAACAGGAAAGTCAGGTGAGCAAGCATTCCACACAACGTAGTGATTCCCACCTGCCCTCCCTCTCCATGATCTTCCCACTGAGGCACAAGATCCCTGCAGGCACCGAGGCCACATGTACCTCTGCCTCCCGTTATGGCCAGCCTGCCAGGTGCTGACCGCACTTCCCTGCATCCATAGCCAGCAACCTTGTACATCTGCTGTCATCGGTCCCTTCCCTAAGGCCAAGCTAGAATGACAGCCTGCTGTCCAACCCGGCCCTGCAGGGCAGGCACCTTAGTCTGAGCAGGCCTGGTGAAGCGCTCAGTATTGCTCATGTCTCTACTTTCCTAGCACTGTGTAGGAGAGAGACACAGGGGAGTGGGATGAGAAAGCCCCCACGGGGATGGCCACACCACAGTCCCATCTCTTCCATTCTCCTCTCATGATTTGGGGCACACACGCACTACACACACCCTGTGTGTTTTTCAAGCCAGCAGGTCTGAGACTTGAACCATGCACTCAGCCATGTGGGAGCCAGCTATCTTATCCATGCCACCAACTGGTCTTGTAGAATAGAACTGTGTACTTATTCACAAGTGCCTGCTGGGTGCCAGCCCTTCTCCTGGGCACTGGAACCAAGTGGACCAGGGTACAGACTGTCCAGGCATTGTCAGGGTATCAGGGAAGACAGCCAGAAAATAATGACAAAAGTCATGAGTGAATTATGCTTAGGGGACAACCTGAGGGGAGACCCAGTGGTATCTGAGAATGGACTAACTAAATAAGTTAGTTAGTTAGACACCCCAGGATGGGGGTGTCGAATCTAGCCTGGAGGCAGGGATAATGTCCCTGTGCCAAAGATAAGGACAAGAAGGAGTAGTAAGGTCAAGGGACGGGTGCCTGCTGAGATACTCTTTGGTTTTTGTTTTGTTTTGTTTTTGCTATAGGGCACACGTACTCACCAGAAACAAAAAGAGGAAGAGGGAAAATGAAAAAGTACCTCCCTCAGGGTGGCTTGCTATGGGGTCTTCACATTTTTCTATGAGAAGACTTTTCCAACAACCCAGTCTGATCCTTTTTCTACCATTCTTCTCTCAGGATTTTGGGCACATATGCACACGTGTTCTAGGATTCACACTACAGTTAGCCATGAGAGATCCAGCTGCCCTAATGCCCATTTCATCTGCTGTCTCCCCCCACCCCTTATTTTTTTCTCTACTTTTTTTCTTTTTCTTTCTTTTCTTTTTTTTTTTTTTTTTTTTTTTTTTTTTTTGAGAGGTTCTTGCTACAGGGCACGTGTGCTCGCTAGAAAGACAGAGAGGGACAGAGAGACAGAAAGCGAGAAATCACCCCCCAGGGGGAATTCTACGCCGCAATCCCTTCTCCTCCATTCTCCTCTCGGGATCTTGGGCATGCACGCACATGCGCCTGGTGTGAGTTTAAGCCACCGGCTCCGAGACTCAAACCACGGTTGACTGCATGGGAGTCCAGCGACATAGTCATTACACTAACTGCTGGTCCCAACCCTCCCTATTTTTTTTTTTAAACTTTATTTCTTCCATGAGAATGAAAGAGAGAGAGATAGCACCCTCAATAGGCTCTTCACC